TGTTCTTGGCCTCACCTCTGGGATGGTTGGGCAGCTGGAATTGGTACATGCCCCAGCCAGAGCATCATGGGAAATGGGAATTATTGTGGAAAACCCTAACTTCTAGTTGGGCCTGGGAGGAATCACCCCGCATGTGGGGATGATGAGGGCTGCTCAGGGTCTGATAGGGCCTCACGCTAGATGTGTACTGGGAATGCCCACCCCGCACTTTGATGGAGCGGGGCAGCCATCAGGAGCCTGGGCGTGGCCAGGGCAGGAGGATTTTGTGGGGAACCCAGTGTAGCTGGGGAAGGGTCAGCGTGAAGGCAGTTGGGGGGCACGGGGGGCAGGAGGCTGAAGAAGGAGCCCTCCTTGCCTCGGCTCTTCTGTATCCAGATGCCTGGGGGCTCAGCCTTGTCCCCTGGCCTTCTGCCCACCAGCTGCCACAAAGCTGGGGAGGAATCTGCTTTGCATTATCAGAGGAGCCGCCTTCCCCAGGCATATGGTCAGCAGACCCCCAGCCCCCCAGCATCATGGGAAATGTCTTCTCTGGACCCCGGTGCTGGCCCAGCCCCTTTTCTCCCTGGAACACTGGGCTACAGGCTCAGGGGTCTTCACCACGCCCCTCCCCCCTTGTCTCAGCTGCATTGCACAGATGAAAGAGGAGAGGAGACACCAAGGGGAGAGATGAGCCCTCACGGGTTGGCAAAGATGAAGGCTCTCATCCTCTGAACTAGACAATGAAAGGGACAAAAGGGGCTCCTCGGGGGCTTGAGCCAAGAGGAGAGAGGCCTTGGGGTCGTGGTGGGGAGTAGAGGGGAGAATCATAGGCCTCAGGCCCAAGGAGACCGATGACACGGGAAGTGGCAAGGGTGTCTCCATCAGTCCTCTGAGCCCACTGGGGGCTCAGAATGCGTCCCTGAGCTGAGTTGCCCCAGGTGGTGGCCGCCAGCCCCACGTGGCTACTGAGCACTTGAAGTGTGGCTGGTCCACACTGAGATGTGCTGTAAGAATAAAATACATACTGGATTTTGAAAACTTAGTAGGATGAAAACTGTAAAATATTCCATTAATAATTTGAAATCTTGATTATGTGTTGAAATAATATTTTGGATATATTGGGCTAAATAAAATATATTAGTAAGTTTACCTGCTTTTTTTACTTGTGAAATGTGGCTACTAAAAAATGAAAAATTACATATATGTCACATATTTCTGTTGGACAGAACTGCTTCAGAGCATACTCATTTATTTATTCAGCATAATTTTATTGGGTGCCAGCTATAAGCCAGGCGAGGTGCTAAGGATTAGAAGGTGAGTAAAACCAGACCCTGTCTCTGGTTTCCTGGAGTTTACAGTAATCGAATAATCACTAAATGGGTGCCTAATTACAAAGAGAGATTAAGTGGTCTAAAGAAAGGGAGTGGAACATTTGTTCTCTGAAACCCGATTCAGGCCCTGAGTACACCGAGGGCTTCCCTGAGGAAGCACTGGACTGCGGTAACTTGGGAAAGGAGAGAAAGAGTGTGCAAAGGCCCTGTGGCTAGAGAGAACAGCAGAGCTTGGAGAGTTATAAGAAGGCTGGTTTGGGGGAGCACAGAGAGCAAGGAGGTGAGTCTGGGGAGCTGGCAGGGGCCTCGCGCAGCCCTCCAGGGCCACATCAAGGATGGGAAGTGCATGAAGCATTCTAGCGCTTGAGGGGGAATTAGAGAGGGAGCCTCTGGAGGAGGGCAGAGGGTTTCCCCACACGTGGTGAGGGGAGCGGTGCAGAGGGAATCTCTGGTACAATGTCTTTAAGGCTCTCTGCTGCCCTGCCCCCAGGAGCCCTAGGCCAGTGTCAGTCACTTCCCTACCCCCTCACCTTCCCCTTGCTCTAGAGAGCTTTTTAGAAGCCCCTCTTCCCAACACCCCATGCTCCCTCCTTTACTTCAAGCCACCACTGACTTCCACCTTCCACACGCTCCCGCCCCACCCCCACCCTCCATTCTGCCACCAGAGCTAGTATTTTCTAAAATGCAAATCTGTCTGTGGCAAACCCCCTGCTTTAAAGCCTCAATGGCTCCCTAGTGTTCTCAGAATATAGTCCAGACCCCTTAGCCTGTCTCTCCGTAAGCCCTACTGACCTCCCTCCCGCTCCCTCTCTGGGCTCTGAGCACAGAAGCTGCCCCAGGCCCTGCATACTCTGTTCTCTCTCCCTGCGAGGCCTTTGCTCTGCTGATTCCTCTGCCAGAAACTCTCCACCCCCGGCTTGTTAACTGCACCCATCCTTCAGTGCTCGGCTTCTGCGCCCCTTCTCTGACAAACCTTCCCTGAGCCCTGCTATGGGGGGTCTGGGCTGGCAGCCCCACTCAGCCCTGTTATGACAATGCACACCGTATAGGCCCATCTGCTGTATCTCCCTCCAGAATGTCAGCGGGCTGAGGGCGGGGATTTGTGTCTCCCTTATTTCCACAGGACAGCACCTGGCTCACTCCCACCAGACAAGAGGCTGGCAAAGAGTAGAGAGCCACCCTTTGGGCAAAGATTGTATTTCCCCCATCAGAATGGGGGCTCCCTTCGGACACGAGCTGAGCCTCCCTCATCAGATTAGAAGTCTCAAGTCTGGCCCTGTCTCCTCCATCAAACAGGAGTCTCCCTCAAGACAGAGACTGTCTTCCCCACCACACCGGGGGGTTCCTGAGTACCAGGATCATTTCTCTAACTGTGAATACCTCCCCCACACCCACAGTCTTCCTCACAACCCTCACAGGCTGGGGGCGGCAGGGGGCGGATGGAAAACGCAGACCCCTCCCCACCCCCCATGTCTAACTCTTGCCTGGGCCTGGCTGGCCCTTTACCCCGGATCCAGAAGTCAGGAAGGTCTGTTTGCTGTTCTTACTGGAAAAAGCAAACCTCCCCCAGCCTCCCCTGGCCAGTCCCTACAGAAGACCTGGCCAAGCAACAGGTAGGGGCTGCACAGCTTTGCCTACCTGCCTAGCCAGCCTCAGAGAGGGGCACAGGCCTGGGGCCAAGAACACAGGCACCCCAGGAGCTCCCACGCCTGGGCTGGGCATGGCTCAAAGCCAGGCTGGCAGGAGCCTGGGTTAGGACCTGCCCAAGAGGGCTGTGAGGGAGGGGCCTGCCTGCCTCCCTCCAGGCCATCTGGAGCCAGATCCTGTGTGTGTGTGCGTGTGTGTATGTGTGTCTCCCAGGCCATGTGGGTGGCTGGGAGCTGTGGGGTTATGACCTGGCCCTCCTAGCAAGCCTCTGGCTCCCCTGTGGTCAGTTTCATTCTTGACATCTGGTCAAGTTCACAGCTGGCCAGCTTCCTGCATGGCCATTTTCACTTTCCCTAAGATCTGGGGCAAAAGGCCCCACTCCTTCCCCACTCCACTTAAATTAACTCCATGGCTACACATGTGAACTTTCTAGATTTCTTTAAAAGTTCCCCATTTGGTGGTGGTGGGGAAATAGGATAAGAACTCACTGAGTTGGAAATTATACCTGGGTCCCTGCTGCATACATGATCCCAACCAATTCAAACCACGTGTATTTCCAGAAAACCTCTGTGCACTATTTTTCTTTCTTTGCTGTTTAATGTTCATCACTTATGTTTTATGTGTAGGTTTCAGGAGGCCCAAGAAATGATTACACAGGATGCAAGGAGGGGGGTGACAGGGTTATGGGGGTCTGGAGCCCGCAGCCCCCAGCTGGGGGGCCAAAAGGGTTCCATCTCAGCCCAAAGCGAGGCGGAAGGGCCCCAGAACCAAACACATGCTGAAACATACTTGCAACACCCCAACCCCCTCCCCACCTGCTGGGGAGGAAAATAAATACACTTGACTCTGTCCCACTCCCCAGGTGCCACAGGTGAGGGGCCAGCAGGTGAGTTTCCTCCTCTCATCACAGATTGAGGTCAGAGAAATGTCATCTACATACAATGCTCCTAGTCCCTTATACAGGGTTGGGAGAACCCTGGGTGGGGAGGGGTGGCTGTCAGCGCACTCCCTGCCTGGGGCTCATTCATGCTAAATAGGGGGCGCCACACTCATTCCAACATCAAGCAAAACAAACAGGCCAGGGAGACGGTGGAGACGCCACTGAGACTTCATGGCCCCTTTCTGGCCAAGCTAAGGAAAAAAGTTTATCGCATGGGCCCCTAAACTTGGGAGACACCTCCTTCAGGCCACAGTCTAACTCAGTTCCTTCTTGCTGTATTCCCACACTGGCCCACTTTTCTTCATTGGAACCTTCTGGGCCCAGCCAAACCAGTGTTTGCAGGGAGGGGAGGATGGCGGGAGCATTCCTCCACGTGCAGGCCCTTGGAAGACAGGCGCCAGCTCAAGCCTCAGCGGTCCTTGGCCGGCCAAACCCGGGGGCGAGGGAAGACAGCCCCAGCAGAGCTCATTTCCCTCCGATGCTTCTCTGGCAGCTGCTCCGGGCAGGATCCAGTCTCAGTCCAAGAGAAGGAACTCGTGAAAAAAAGCAAGATATCTCATCCTGTGTGTGTGTGTGTGCGTGCGCGTGTGTGTGTGTGTGTTGCAGGGTGGGGGGTCCTTAGGCCCTGACCCCTAGGGCTGATTCTAGGGGCTAGTGTTAGCTCCAGGTCTGTGCTGGGGCGGAGGCACCAACAGTCTGGGGCCACACAACAGATGCCACACGGACATGCCTGAGGGAGACAGGCAGAGGGGAGCAGTACCCTTTTCCACAAAACCCGAACCTGACTTCATGGTGGATCAATGGACCAGGACTTGGACACGTATCCCATCTCCACAGGCGTTGGACAGGGGCTGGAGATGGTGGGGGATGCAGTGGACTTGGCCTCAAGACATTTCCCAGGAGGTCACCTGGTCTCCCTCCCCAGCCCTTAAGCAAACCTGAGACCCCTCATTTAGAGAGATGCCAGCCTACATTAGGCCTCTCCATAGCTGGGTGGCTTTGGGCAAATCACTGCCTCTCTCTGAGCCTCACTGTTCTGTACCTAAAGTGGTGGTGGGGGGGGGTGGACTGGGTTTCAAAACCTCCTTCTGGCTCTGAGAGGGAAGGGGCGAGGGGGACTGAGGGAGGTTTTAGGGCACTATGATGCTCCCTCGTCCCCCAAGTTCACAGTGTAGAGTCCATGGCTCTGGTTCCTCAGTACCTCCCTCTGAGTCCCTGGGGCCTTGTCACTGGCCCCAATACCATCCCTGGTATCAGCCCCCCAGATATGACACCTGCTAAGGTGGGAGGGGCTGACCCACCAGCAGTGTGGGAGAAGGGAGCAGAGGCCTGAGATAATGACGGGGCAGGGGCAGGGTGTGGAGGCAGAGAGGACACTTCCCTCGAAGGAGAGGGAGTATGATCAGAAGCAAAGGGGCCACACGAGGTGCAGTGACAGGGCTGTGGTTTGGGGGCCTGGACTCTGAGGCCCTACCCAGAGGAGCTCAGCTGTGACAGGCTGGCCCACGCCAGGGGGAGGGACAGGCCCCGTGGGGGTTGGCTGGAGCATCAGTCATCGGAATGTGGGGGTAGGGCAGGGGCTCCCCAGGTTGGCTCACACTGGGGACGTGGCCGTGGACTCGCTGCACAAGCTCTCAACAATGTCGGCTCGCTGGATGCGGCACAGGGCAGCCAGGAGGGCATCGAGCGTTGCGCTGTCCTGGGCAGCCCAGTTGGCAAGCAGGGCACGGACGGGGCAGGCCTCGTGGGTGAAGGAGTCTATGTGCTCGGGCTGGTAGCCCAGCTCACCCGCCAGGTTCCGCCAGGTGTCCCCCGCAGAGCCATTGAGCAGCTTCTCCACCTCCTCCCGCTTGGCTGGGGGCAGGCTGCTGTAGAGGCCTCCGTCACCCTTGAGGGCTGCCGAGGACCCAGAAGGGGAGTCAGGTCCCACCCTCTGGACCTTTTTCCCCTCAGTGTGCGTGGGGCCTGGGGTAAGACCCAGAAGGGCCAAGGCATTTCTCCTCCCCACCTGGGGCCTAGAGGCAGAGAGGTGACCAAGATGAGGTCCTGGATGGGGCACATGGATGTGGACGGGCCTGGGGGATGCTGACTCGTGGTCCCATCCTCACTCACAGCTCCAGTACTACCCTCACCACCTAACCCCTCCCGCTGCCCCCCAGCCAGTAACCAAGGCGCAGGAAGAGACAGGACTTCGCAGATCCAGACAGCTGCAAGTGTCCTGCAGCCGGGCTAGGGGCCGCTAATCAGGGTACACACTTAACTTCTTGTTCCCCACAAGTCCAGGGCAGGAGGCTAATTGCAGCTACTCTGGGCAGTAATTAGCCCCCAGGGGGGACAATTAGCTTGATGAGTCTGGAGGCTCCAACTTTCCCAAGTCATTCCACTGGAAAAGACCTTCCCTCCCCATTCCCCGCACCCAACCTCTCCCCTCCTTCGACAGAGGTGAACCCCTGTGATAGTCCTTCCTACAGTCTAACCTTAATCACTCCTGTTCTCCCTGCCTGCCCTGCTGCTCACCCTGGCCTGAGGCCGTCTGTGTGTGGGGCTGCTGGTCATGCAGGCTCTGGCTGTCCACAGAGATGCCGCTGTCGCTGTGCAGTTTTTCTCCCTCGGGTGGGGGCGTCTGGTTCACCGGCCGGCTGTTGGCTCCTTGCTTGTCCCGCTTGCAGCTGTTCCACCTGGAGTCAGAGGACAGGCCGGGTCCCGGGATGAGGGGCCGTTCCATTCCGGCCGATGCAGCTGAGGCGTCAGTGCGGGGACCAGAGCATGGGAGGTGCTCACCTACAACCCTGCCACAGTGCCTAAGGCTCTTATTTCTTTACATATCTGCCCCGGCCTACACTGAAAGCCCCGTGAGCAGAGAGCAGCACCCCGCATGTGCTCAATAAATGTTCCTGGAATGAATGTGCATAAATAAATGACTTCCCAGGAATTCCAGTTTTTCCAATCTACCCTTCTAAAGTACTCCCACATGTGGGCAGCACTATATACAACGATTTCCTCTGCAATTATAAGCAATAACAAAAAAGCGAAAACAAACAGAATGTCCATCAGTAGAGACAGGCTAAGTAAATTATGATCCATCCATATTATTGAATGAGTGGTTACAAATGATTCGATAGTCTGTATGTCCTGAGGAAAGCTCTCCTGGGGGAGAGGAAGTGAAAAACGGTTGTAGAATATGTGTAATGCGATCCCATTGATGCTTTTTAAAAAACCTGCATGTTTACATATAGTTATAATAAGTTTTACATACATATGTTTATAAAAAATGCACAGAAAATAGTTGGGAAGGATCTAGTCCAACCAGATTTCAATAAAGAGAGGAGTAGGATTTGAGGAGATAAAAGGGGATTTTTACTTTTTGCTTTAAAAGATATTGGTCTTGTTTGCATTTTCCTAAACAAGAATGTGTTACTTTGATGATTTTTTAAAAAAAGAATGAAGAATGCATTTAAAACTTTAAAATGCTTTTGGGGAGGTCTGGCACATCCTGGATTCTTGGTGTGGGTGCCACAGGATGCCAAGTGTGACATGGGAAGGGGAAGGGACGCATGCACACACAGGTAACTGTGGGGGAGAATGGGGTCTGGGGGATGAGGACGCAGCAATTGGAGGTAGGGGGAGTCAGGGAGGGGAGCAGCATGGGAGTGGGAGGGGCTGGAGCCAGGCCAGGACAGGGACGACCCTCTTCCCTCACCTCCTGCAAACCCACCATGCCCTGGAGTGGGGCAGCTAACGTTGAGCGAGGTTGACTTGTTTTGGGATTGAGTTTAAAGGGTGTGTGCGTCTTCATGTCAAGGTCAGAGCAAAGCCCTCTTGGAGGGCAATGTCTCACTCTCTGTCCCCACCGAGCCCCCTCTCACCTCTTGAAGGCGATGTAGGCCACGAGGCCCACAACAACAGCGGCCAGGATGGAGCAGTAGACGGGGATGAGGTTGTCGGTGGTGCCTCGCGTCACCACAGGCTGGGAGCTGCCCATCACTGTAGTCACCACATCTGCCACCGTGCTGGATACGAAGTCTTGTTCTGGAGGCACCTCGGGCTCCTGGGTGCTGGGGGCTGTGCTGTCTGAGCCCTCCGGGGGCGTTGACCTTGTAATCCAGCGGCCAGGGATCTCTGGGAGAAAGGACCACAGGAGTGAGGGCCCAGTCCCCCCCAGGCCACTCCCCTGATGTTCTGACCCCCTCCCCTGGCTCTGGTGCTCATGCTTCCAGCTGTCAGGCACAGGGTGGGGGCTGGGATGGTGTGCATGATGTCATGACAGTGAAGGGCTAGGGCTGGTAGTCAGGACACCTGGACCTGCTTCAGTCTGTGGCTGACTTGCTGTGTGACTCTGGAATAGTCCCTTCTTCTCTCAGGACCTCAATTTTCCCTTCTGGAGAATGACCATATTACGAGAGATGGTCTCTGATCTCCCTTCCATCTTGGGCTGTGGTCTAGAATTCCATTCTGCCTCCCCTGGGTACCCAAAAGTCCGGTCTGGGGGCAAACACACAAAGAAGACTGAGTCTCAGGGAAGCCTCAAGCTGGAATCACTGTGGGAAATGCCTCTTTGGCCCCAGGCCGTCCCAGATGACCGCAGTCACCCCTGTCCTAAGAAAGGATGAGGGCACTCAGGTCCGGCCAGAGGAGCTTCCCCCACACCGCTCTCCCAAGAGCTGACCTCTAGCCCCCACTTCCTGTCTCTGATGTCCTAGGCTTTAGGCTTGGGCCAAATGGGGGTGTGGGCAGCTGGCTTGCTTCCCTCCAGCCAGTCCTTAGACAGCGGCCAGCCTCTGTTTCCTGCCCTGCCTGGCCCCCACACAGCCTGATCCTGCCACCCAGAGAAGACACGTCAGGTAGCCTGAACACTCTTTGAGCCGGAAGCAGACTGCTGGTGGAGAGAGGGCCCACAAGGCAGGTGCTGCCCACTGCCTCGGGGGGGAGGAGACTGTGCCTTGCCACCCACCGAGGCCATCTCATGCCAGCTGGGCATTGCCAGCCTCCCTGGAAAGTGACCCCGCACCTCCTGGCACCAGTGGGTGGGATTTTCCGTTCTGCACCCAGCCGGGGGCAGGGCTGGGGCTGTGGGCTCTGGACGGCCTGGGGGTACTTGTCTGGGCAAAGTTGCCTTGCTCCATCCATCCTCACTTCCCACGCCTGGGGCAGGGAGGGAATGCGGAGAGGACATGCCAATGGGGTAAAGGGGAGGGCACCTTGCTCCCAGCTCTGCCACACTCAGCCCCCAGTTTGCCCACCCAAGTTAGAGTTGAAGCTGCCCACCGGTCTTCTGGGCCTCCTTGGCTCAAAATGAAGATGCTTCAAAAGCCCCCATTTTCAACACCTTCTGAGGGGTAAGGCCCCCAAATGTGAATCTGGAAATAATCTGGCTGGCAGTGTGGGTGGGGCTGCCATCTGCCCACCCATCACACCCCTCCCCGATTTCGGTTCTGGGAGGGGGTGGAGGGAGTGGGGTGGGAAGTGGAGAAGACACAGCCCTGTCTTTTGGCAGCCCCACACAGGGCATTGGACTGGGGAGGGTCTTCTCTTGCCCTGCCAGGGGACTGGACAAGTTGGGGGACAGCCTGAGCTCAGAGGCTGAAGACACAGCTCAGCTCAGACCCACCCTGACCCAGGGGCTGAAGGTGTGTGTGTGTGGTGGGGATGCTGGTGAATCAGGCCTTTACAGAGGTTAGAGAGCAGTGCGGACAGGCTGAGAGGGTGGTAAGGGACAGGCCCGACTGAAGATGGCGGCGCTGACTGTGCAGGGCTCCTTCCCGCATCTCTCCAATCCCCTCTGATGGAGGCGGGGGGATGAGATCCAGATGTGGCCATGTCCACTAGCATTCCAACCTGCTAAGCCCTTGGCAGGTCCTGACAGCCATTTCCGGAACGGGAGCTGTCAGACTTGGGGGTGGAAGGAGGGACCAGGCTACCCCTCCTAAACCTGAATTTCACTGGGGCAAGGGGGGGGAGCCTTCCGCCCTGAGGGTGGGTGAGTCACCATGTTGACACCTGAAATGTATCTGCAGGAAAATATAGTACACTGGAGGGGAGGGAGGCCACCAAACCAGAATCAAATTCCATTTCCTGAAATGGTCCCTCTGCCCTGGAGCTGACATTTAACCCTTCAGAGGCTAGAACTGAAAGGGGAACAGGGGCAGGGATCACACACACCCCTTGGGGGCATCCTCCCCCTTCAGGGTGGCTGGGAAAGTGGGGTGGCATCTGGGAGGAATCTGTGAACACCCCAAAAGGCAGAGCCCACCCTTCCCCCTTCCACCACTTTTCTTG